TAGGAGGTCTTTGAAAATGACAATACCCTTCTCCTTGGGTCTATGTTGCACATCTTTGATCTCAAGTCGACCTGCTTCCTGCTCAGCCTTGTGGGTTCTGTATAAATCCTCCTTTCTTTTGAGTTAAAGAAATGTGAACTACCAGGCATAGATGCATCAGAGGAAGCTGAATAAAGAAAACTCGGGGGATGTAGGTAACTGCCCTTAAGATCAGGTGTTGGGCTGATGGAGTCTCAAGGCCAGGGTCACCAAGAAAGAAGGATATAAACTCCCACCTGAGAATAAAAAGCTGGCCAAGGTCTGGTGGGTATTGCTGATGTTAAGACCTTCTTCTGGAAATGATGGGAGGAAGGGGGAGGTGGGAGAGGGGACGGGCAACAAATTTTGGTTCAAAGCATAGAGAGAAAGGGGTAAGTTCAGCCTTGGGATGATGAAGAGAGTTTTCAGGGTCTGAGGAGGGTTATGAGAAAAGAAACCAAGCAGTAGGGCTGACTGGAAGTATGTTTGGCTGAGGAGGGGGAGGTACTCAGGTAGGAGCACAGGGTTATCATAATTATAAACAGAAAGGCTCTAGTCAAATGAGTTATGCATTAAGGCCTTTATCTTTGAGACAATGTAATTTATGTGTTCTGCATATTTTAAGTAGGAATGAAAAATCATCACAAATTCTATGACTTGGTTATTGAAGTTACTTGTCTAAGCTTGTTTTCAGTAACTGACCTTCCAGGTCTCCATGTAAATGTCTCTGCAGGGGTGAAAATCAAAAAACACTGTTACCATTGAGTTGATTCTGACTCATAATGTGACTCTATAGGACAGAGTAGAACTGCCCCATAGGGTTTCCAAGGAGTGGCTGGTGGATTTAAACTGCTGACCTTCTGGTTAGCAGCAGAGCCCTTAACCACTGTGCCACCAGGGCTCCAGGGGTAAAGGCAGAGGTAAGTGTTGGGATGGAAATGGGTCTCAGGAGAGCTTGGCCAGAGCATTCTGAACAGTGTACCTCAACAACCAGGAAGCAAGGTGCTGCATCTTGATCTGGGTAGTGGCTACAACTACATGTATTAACTTTAAAAAATTATCAAACTATACACCTGAGATTTGTGCATTTTACAGTATGTATGCTACACTTCAATATAAATGTTAAAAAAGTTAACTATAAAAAAAGTTTACTAAAAAATGAGGGAAGGGGAACCGATGTTGCATGTTATAGAGAGGACAAGTAAAACAAACAATGAAGTCACTGAATCGGTCATCAATGGAGATCACTGTTGATCTTAGCAAGAAAAATCTCAGTAGCAATAGGCTGAACAGTGAATAAAAAGAAAGGTGGATTGATGCAGGGCAGCCAGAAGAGGAAAATTCTGGATCAGAGGTGAATGGGAGAGGAGGCATTCTGTTTCCTCAGGCTCTTCTGCTCTTTGAGCATTGATGCTTACCCTTAGGTTTGAAACATCCAGAAGACATAAAGCAGTCAAGAACAGTCTAAATTTTACTTTTCACTCTTCACCATTCTTCTTCTTCAACATTTTCCCTAGTCTTCTCATGATCTGTCACTGAAGATGTCTCACCCGGAGGTATTACATAGCGAGGTTCTTCTAATTTGACTGTGATACAGAGTTCCCTACTTTATTCAGTAAGTTCCATTATGAGGCATTGCTCATGTTTAGGGTTTCTGTATGTTTTTGTTGTTTCAATAACGACCACAGTTTTCAACCATGTCCCAAGAAATCTGGCTTTTTAGAAAACTCCTGAGGACTACCATCAAGGCTGCCATTGGTACCTAGGTGTGGAGTCAATCAGTGCTAGGATTTCTAAGAACTAAACAGAAGGGACAAATATATGTCACCTGGTTATGACTGAGAACCAGGGGAATGTATGTCTAGTGTTTGGCTAACAGAGAAAATGTCTACTGCAGAAGATGGGATCCTGAAGCCAAAATTCTATCAATCTGATTTACTCAATTATTCAGAAAGGGATCAGGCCTCTGATGAGAAATTTAAAAAGGGTAAGTAAAGACAGTGTCCAAAGGCAACGATAAAGGAACTTCTCTAACTGGAAGCCCCTTATTGAAGGGTACAGGAAGTGATAGCTAAGGGAAGGCTAGTCTTGAGGCTTGGTAAATAAGCATCCTTCATTTATGATTGCCTGGATACCTGGAAAACAGTTCTGGGGCTATAAATGACTACTATAAAGTCAATACAAGTCATACAACTGATGTGTGATCCCTCAGGCTAAAGAGGTCTTTAGAGATGCAACATTAGGGCAGTAAAGGTTTGAGGAAGAGATGGTTAACTGTACTTAGTATGGTCTGGTCCACCCCTGGGACCTTGATTCCAGGTCCAGTGGCCAGTGCCCTTCCCCAGGAACTGAAATGATCTGATAGTCATCGAAAAAACACTTGAAACAGAATGAATGGGCAGTCAGAGAGAGTTTGCCTCTCATCTTTCTATTTTCAGCTCCTAATACTGACTAATTGTTGAATGAAATGAAGAATCTGGCTGTGTATAGCCACTGACTGAGACATCTTCAGTGACAGATTATAGGAGGATAAAGGAAAAGCTTCACATAAGCAGAGGTGAACTTCTTTTTTTATACTTGGCCTCCATGTTACACTGACTCATGAATATGCTATTTGGAACAATCTAGAATTATAGAATTAAGTAGGAAAAATAGTCCAATTTTTTTATTAGCTAGGTTTTATTGATCACCTACATAAGTAGCACTGTGCTGAGCACTTTTACATAGCTTCTCATTTAAATCTAAAAACATCTCTAGAAAGTTGTGGTTGTTGTTAGATCAAGTCAAATCAAGTCAGTTCTGACTATAGCAACTGCATGCACAACAGAATGAAACACTGCCTGGTCCTGTGCCATCCCCACAACTGTTGCTATGTTTGAGCCCATTGTTGCAGCCACTGTGTCAGTGCATCTTGTTGAGGGTTTCCTGTTTTTCGCTGACCCTCTACTTTACCAAGCATGACATCCTTCTCTAGGGACTGGTCCCTCCTGATAACATGTCCAAAGTACGTGAGACTAAGTCTTGCCATCCTTGCCTCCAAGGAACATTCTGACTGTCCTTCTACCAAGACATTGTTCATCCAAATGGCAGTCCATGGTATATTCAACATTCTTGGCCAACACCATAATTCAAAGGCATCAATTCTTCTTTGGTCTTCCTTATTCATTGTCTAGCTTTCACATGCAAATGAAGCAACTGAAAATACCATGGCTTGGGTCAGGTGCCCCTTAGTCCTCAAAGTGACATCTTTCCTTTTTGCAATACATTGTTTGATTTCTTGACTGCTGCTTCCATGGGTGTTGATTGTCAATCCAAGTAAAACGAAATCCTTGACAACTTCAATCTTTTCTCCATTTATCATGATGTTACTTACTCGTCCAGTTGTGAGGATCTTTGTTTTATGTTGGTCCAGTTGTGATGATTTTTATTTTCTTTATGTTGAGGTGTAATCCATACTTGGATCTTCATCAGTATAAGTGCTTCAAGTTCTCTTCACTTTCAGCAAGCAAGGTTGTGTCATATGTATATCTCAGGTTGTTGATGAGTCTTCCTCCAATCCTGATGGAGAAGCTCCCTATGAAGTAGGGACTATTATCCCCATCTTACCAATAAGCAAATTAAGATTTAGAGAATTTAAATAACTTGACTAAAGAAAAACAGCAGGCAAGTGAAAGAATAGGGTTTTCAGTCTAGACAGCAAGACTCTAGAACCAATGTTCTTAGCCACTTTGCTATCCCGCTTCCTGATGATATAGGACCAACAACAAATTTTGAGTGGGGTACATAGACGTATGTAGAATTTCTATGCTGTATTCTAAGGAAAGAGAAACTAGGTGGTCCTTAAAAAAGTTCATCCAATATTCCCAAGACTGAGTGAAATCACTAAAAGGAGGCCCCTGCAAGAAGTATTTTCAGATGGCTGGGGAAATATGCAGATGCCCAAACATTGTATGAAATGATGGAAACCATTCATCCCAAGAGGAAAGTAACTAAAGGAACATCATATAGGAGTGGAATGGTAGTTTAATGCTGACCCATTATATCATTACATATTATATAATATGGTAACACCTGAGTGATGCAGATGGTGGGCAAATGTCCCAGTAAATAGAAATCCACAAGTGTTGGAGTTTAGCTCCTGGCTGTGCAGAGTAGTAGCTCTATTTCATCAATACTGACTTAGTGAGGTCCCTAACTTTTTTTCCTTCAGTATCCATAGTTGTTACTCATCCATAGTTGTTACTATTAATCTTGGAATGGATGGCCACAACTGGGTGTAGCAAGTGTTAACAGGAGCTGGAAAGACCTGAATTTGAATCTCAAATTTACTACCTACTTGTTATGTGATTTTAGACAAATATTTAATCTCGTTTTAATTATACCAATTGCCTTGTATAGAAAGGATCTTTTGTCATTTTTTTACAAATAAGAAAATATTATGAATACAACTTTTCAGCATACATACTACATTCCTTAAAGAGTGGTTTACTTTCTAAAGGATAAAGCTTCCTTGCTGTCTAGAATGTCTTGGTAGTTTATCATGAAGAGGGAGTTAGATATATTGAAAAATCATAAAACCCTACTGGATGGTTTATCTATAAGGCAGCCCCCAAATTTTATTTGTAGTTATTTAATCTACTAATCAAACCTAGCTCATAGGAATTCCAGGCTGAAATGTTGAGAAGGTAGAGATTATAAGTATCTCCAGAGAGAGCTTATCTCCTATGGAAAGTGATGTCGTCCTCTAAAAACCTTATTTTCCTCACTCCATTAATCTAGTTCTTCAACCAGAAGGATGCTTCTTTTATATCTGTCTAGGCATTATTTTGAGAATACAAAATGTGACATGTTTGACCTCAAGAAGTTTATTGTTTCATTCAGCAATTATTAAGTATTAGGAGCTAAGAATAGAAAGATGAAAGACAAACTCTCTTCTCTGTCCATTCATTCTGTGGAAGCTGTTTAAAATAATGAATATACACATCTTCTTTTATGGATTTGTACACCACAACTGTGAGTCACACACTTGGTATAAGAGACACACGAGTGCATACAACAAACTTACAGGTACAGTGGGGGAGAGGCAGCACTCATCACACTATATTTGAATCGAGAATTTACGTCCCTCAGGGGTCAGCACGGGAGGTGCCATGGAAGCTCTGATGACTAGTACCTAACTTAGACTGGGCATGAGATGGGGGATAAGACAGAGCAGAGGCTTCCCATGAGGTGATCCTTGAAAGGTTAACAGAAATTTGTAAGGCAAAGATGAAGATGAAAGATGGAGCAGAATAACTTTGTTAGATATCAGTTTTCTGATCCTATGGTCCACTTACTGGACTCCCCCAATACCATAGCTGAGAACAAGTCTTACTGGGTTGCATCCTTGTTTTTTATTTTTTAAAACATCATTTTATGCATTAACAGGATACCAGTCTCATCTATGATGCTGGGGCTACACTACAACCACACAATGGAACCCCCTGCCAGCTTCTTCCTTATGGGTATCCCAGGGTTGCAGTTCTCACACTTTTGGCTGGCTATCTCACTGAGTGCCATGTACACCATGGCCCTGCTGGGAAACATCTTCATCGTGACTGTAATCTGGATGGATTCCACTCTACAAGAACCTATGTACTGGTTCCTGTGTGTTCTGGCTGCTGTGGACATTGTTATGGCCTTCTCTGCAGTACCCAAGATGGTGGGCATCTTCTGCACAGGAGACAGCTCCATCAGCTTTAATGCTTGTTTCACTCAGATGTATTTTGTCCACACAGCCACAGCTGTGGAGACAGGGCTGCTGCTGGCCATGGCTTTTGACCACTATATAGCTATCTGCAAGCCCCTACACTACAAGAGAATTCTCACACCTCAAGTGATGCTGGGAATGAGCATGGTCATCATTGTCAGAGCCATCATATTCATGACTCCACTGAGTTGGATGGTGAGTCATCTACCTTTCTGTGACTCCAATGTGATCCTCCATTCCTACTGTGAGCACATAGCTGTGGCCAAGTTAGCATGTGCCAATCCTATGCCCAGCAGTCTCTATAGTCTGATTGGTTCTTCCATTATTGTGAGCGCTGATGTGGCCTTCATTGCTGCCTCCTATAACCTGATTCTCCGGGCTGTATTTAGTCTCTCCTTGAAGAAAGCTCAACTGGAAGCATTAAGCACATGTGGTTCTCACATGGGGGTTATGGCTCTGTACTACCTACCTGGGATGGCATCCATCTATATGGCCTGGCTAGGGAAAGACATAGTGCCCCTGCACACCCAAGTGCTACTAGCTGACCTGTACCTGGTCATCCCACCCACCTTAAACCCCATCATCTATGGCCTGAGGACCAAACAAATACGGGAGTGATTATGGGGTTTGCTGATGCGCTGCCTCTTTGACCACTCAAACCTGGGCTGATTAACCTAAAATCTGTTCAGCTTTAAAGATGCCTTAGAGATCTGTGGAGCGGGTTTGGTACACCTGTAGATATACGAATTCTAAGAGGAATCTCTTAAGGGTAGCCTTGCATAACTTTTCGGTTTCTAGCAAAAATGATTCTGAATTTCTAACATCATTTTTTAATCGTTTTAACCAACTAGTATCTGAATAAGAGATAGGTCTGAGAAGAGAATATAGATTTGAGGTTTTTCTTTCCTTAGCTTCTGACTTATATTTCCAACCTAATATCCTACCAGTCCCTCTGCGGAAGAAAACAATTGTTTGGTTGTCCCACATCTGGCTGCTTTCTCAGAATTGCCCTTTTCTTCAAGGGATTGTAGAGAAGCTATTAATATATGACCTTGCTCTCTGGCCCACTGAATCCACTCAGTTTGGCTCACGTGCTCACCCCCAAACCGGAGTCCTTCATGGACTCCAGTTTATCTGAACTTTACACTTGGGATCACTGATGATGGCCACTTAACAGTGCATAGACTTTGAAAAAGAAATCTGGTCCACAGCAAGAGAAGCTGCTTAGCAAGATGGGATGAAGAGACTTTGAGTTCTGCCTTGGATTCCAATTCATTCCGGACAGCTAGGTACATCCTGTTATTAAGTTTTGTAAGATACTCCTATATCCTTTTAACTTACCCCAGTATCATCACGCTACTTGGAGTTAGTTTATTAGTCATCAGCCTTTTATTTTTAAGCAACAGAAGCTAAATCAGTATGAGTTTAGTTTTGGGTTTTTCTCTTTGGTTCCTATTCCTGCTCTATGTAACTCAACCTTAAGACATAAAAGAGAGGAATCAGTATCACACAGGTTTTTCTTCTTGTGGACACATCTAAGAGTTCTCTGGGATGAAAAGGTTAATAGGAAACAATATAAACAATGAAGGTGAAATGGTATTACTTTTCTCCTAGTCACCAGATATTTGTTTTCTGTTTTTATTTCCCCCTTTCAGAAAGTCTTAAATTGAGTGACAGGTATATGTTCAAAGAAAAAATTGCATATGTGAGATAAATATATTAAACACTGGTACATTTTAAAATCTTAATAAAAAATAATTTTCTAATAGTATTAAAATTCAAAGTGCAAGGAAAAGCAGCGTTGATTTGAGTCTTAATATTTCCTTTCTACTGATGAGGGGAACAAGGCTAATTTATATAAGGTATTGAAGATTATATGAAATAATGAATGGAAAGCACTTGATGTGACATCTGACATATGTATTTAAAAAAAAAACCCAATTGGTGATAAATTTCTAATTTCATAATTTTAAAGGGGTACTTCCAGGTCTAGTAAAACTGCAGTCTTGTGTAGATCAGTACTCATGTGATAGCATTTCCAAATAAATCTTCTGTTTAACAACTTGGCATCTATATCTTTTGCTAATATTGGACTTGTTTACCTACCAAGAACATATTATCTCTGTTCTTGAATACCAGCAGAGTAGGAATCAGCCTCTAAAAACCAGATAATGATGCACTGAGATCCCACATCGTGGTAAAAAGAAACTCTACTCCCTTGCAATGTCCTAACATAAAAACAAAATGAGATCATGAGGTGGTTAAGTAGATTTGATAAGACTCCCACTTTGAGGGAATCTTTCTTTTTCCATAATCCTGAGAATTGACTATGTCCATTAAATCAAAGAACATTAGACGCATTAAAGAATGTGATGTACAGAAACAAAGGTATTGTCCAGTCTCCACCCCAAACAGACAGTTCTTCCCAGCATTTCCAGCAGGGGGCCTGCTCTGCCAGCTTTGTTTCACTCACACTGGTATTTCCTGCATCTAGCTGGTGCCCACTGTTGGTACTCAAATATTTATTGAACTACATGCTTCCTGAAGTGTCCTGGTTTCCCACAATGGCTACCCAAAAACAAAAAATGCTGTGCTTCTCACGATGTATTCAAATATAGCCCCTGTCTTATCACACAAAGCAGTGGGTGATTATTTAACTATAGTCTCCAATTTTTGGATTTTTAAGAGATTATAACCAATCCTGCTTGAAAAAAAATGGAGGTTTGATTTCCTATGGAGATTTGTTGGCCCTAGGATTTGCCCGTTTCCTTCTCTTGCAGAACCCAAGCATTTTACCTTTTTTAGCATCCTCTCCCCTACAAGGTTCAGGCAATGCACCCTTTGGTTCTCTGCTACTAAAACAAGGATGGAAGAAAGATTTGGCAGTCTGCTTCTGTAAAGATTACAGCCTTAGAAACCCTATGGGGCAGTTCTATTCTGTCCTATATGGTCACTGTGAGTCAGAATCAACTCGATGGCACACAACAGCAACAAAACAAGAATGGGCAAAGCTTGTCCCTGGCTTGTAGTAAATCATCATCCTCACAAGTCAGAGGTGCCAGCAGTGTAGGTGCTCTACCCTTGACATGGCTGCCTGCCTCTTCCCCTTCTGGACCACTTTTGAAGATCACAATAAAAGAAATTACCCATTGAATGAGTTTTTGAATAGGCTTATAATTAATTACCTCCTGTTTTTCATGCTTCTATGAGGCAAGAAAAGCTTATTTTTGTTTTGATTCTAGGCATACGAATGCAAGTTCTCCCATTTAACAAATAGTTAGCAATTATATATATATATATATATATATGTATGTATGTATATATATACAGTTTAACAACTGGATATACACATACACATATATACTGTGCTAGACTGGGGCTGCAATGGTGAGTCAGACAAACAAGGTCCTTGTCTTCATGAGATTCTTAGAAGAGAACTGTGAGTGACACCATAGAGCAAAAGGTTCTCATATACTTAAGAACTTTAATCTTCTTGCCTAGAAGTCTTAAAAAATTAACGTGAAATAAACAGTGTAGCATTGTTTAACCTTGTAATTCTTCTAGCAAGTAATCATAGCAACAGAATCGGATTACATCAACAAACAAAACAAAAATCAAAACCAACCAACCAACCAACCAAAAAAAAGTACATTACAAATGAGGCCACTACAATCTTTAATTATTCTAGGGTTGAATGAATTTATCACCAAATAATCCTCTTTTTCTATTAACCATCCAAGATTTGTTCTAATTAAACCATAGTAAAGAAATATTGATTTAGCCCCTAGACTCTTCTACTATTTGTCCATAGACACAACCAGAATTGCTTCTTAAGCATCTATTTCTCAACCCTATAAAGAATCCTCCAGAGAATCCACATACACAAAGATACGTGGTCCCTCTAATGTAGCTCAACCCTTTCCAAGATTAAGTCTGTGACTTACCAACTCATTCCCCTCCAAGCAGCTGATAGATAGAAACTTCTTTTACTGGTGATGCTTGAGAAGCAACTTGGAAGCATGTGTCTAGGTAGAATGAATTTACTGGCTCCTTTCTGGCTGTTTTACCTCCTTCACATGTGAACAGCCACATAACTAAAGTAGAAAAACTATTTCTGCTATTCCTTATTGCAGATAATTTAAAGCTATTTTACTTTTGTCTATGCCTAACCTAGTATCTTGGAGGCCTGGGGGCGCAGTGGTTAAGAGCTCAGCTGCAAACCAAAAGGTCAGGAGTTTGAATCCACCAGCTGCTCCTTGGAAACCCTGTGGGGCAGTTCTACTCTGTCCTATAGGGTTGCCATGAGTCAGAATCGACTCAGTGGCAATGGGTTTTCAGGTTTAACCTAATATCTACTTGGTTATCCAGTTCTAACCCACCAATCACTATCTTCAAGCTTAAACTACATCAGAGGTTGTATTACATAGCATCATGGTGACAATATGTAATGGTCACACATTGAACCCTCACGCAATAAGCAAAGCCAATAATTATCAAATGCTTGCCTCGAAGTTTGTTTCTAGCCACGGCCATTCCCGCATCATACTCTTAAGATCTGTAGTGAACTGTTTTTGTACAACCTTCCCTGCCACACACAGCAATCACTCTATGGTCAATATCACAGATATGTAGTCTTAATTCCCTTTCATTATAAAATATGGCTCCAAAAACTGACTTTTTAACCTAGTCCTAGTCTTTTTCCCCTTACTTCCCTTCCCCTATTCCTCCTTCTATCAGCGATTCGGAGAAGAGAGAGGCAGAGAAAATATGTAGTTGCCAGAACCATGGAGATTCCCTTGCTGAACTCAAAAGGTCCACGCTTCAGCCAAATTCGCTTGTGTGTGAGTCTTCCTTCCTATTCATTTCTTTTCCTCTTCCCATTTTATTATTTTTGTTCTCTTCCCTGGGGTTACAGTCCCCATTCTAGTCCAAAGACAAACACATATAATCAGATGCACAATATACCACTGTAGCCCGGGGTCTGCCACTGGTATGGGTACCTTTTTGTCTAAAGGGCTCTGGACTGTCAGGACAGGCCCTAGGGAACAAAGGCACTGCTGTGAAGATGCTGACTATACAATGGGGAGATGAGAAGGTTACCACATTCAAGATCCATGGTTTGTCTTCCTCTATCCCTGAGAAAGGAGCAGAAGTATAGGATAAATCTGTGATCCACACATCAACCCTGTGAGGTAGGGGAGTATGCAGTTATTATATTCATTTTTCCAATGAGGAAACTTAAGAGCTTTCAAACATGAGATGTTTGAGACTCAAATGTAATGAATGACATGCAGATATGTGACCTAAGAAGAGAATTTGCCTATCTTATTTTATCTGAATGTGGAGAATGCTTTATAATCATCTTTAACAGCTTTGTGAAAAACAATTTCCTGCCTTAAGGTCATTCCAGTTTCCTCATCCATAAAGTGAAAATCAAAACCTAAGGCTCACAGGTTTTCTGATCCTGCCATTTAGAGAAAGAGGCAGGACTAGGAAACAGGTCTCCTTAGAGTCTCACACAAAATGATTTGTCCAGCTGGTGCTCAGACTGGGGCCTGGAGAAGTCCTATATTCTTCGCTGCACTGCGCTTATCTAGTCAGGAAGTCAGAGAGCTAGAGTCAAATATTGTTTGGTCAGTAGTAGCAAAGCTCAGGTGAAGCATCCTCTGACTGGTATGAGCACAGCAACCAGCTCTGAATATAGACAATATTCCTTTAGCTTGTTGGTTAAAAAAATCCTATCCAACGGGTTTCCTGGAGGTTGTATCAACTTCATCATCCTCAATGACTAACTATGGCACTGGATAGGGACCAGGAGAGAGGGGCATGAATTACAGAATGGACAAATCCCTGACCCTTACACCAACAAAGTATCTTAGAACTGCTCTGATCCACACCATCAGCCACAACTTGTTTACATGAGTAGTTTAGTGACAGACTTCATCCTAAAAGCAAGAGAACACTGGATCAGGCAGAGGAATCCCTAGATTTTAGGCTCAGCTCAGTTTAAGGGACACTTGTCAGTGGCAGAGTTCTCCAAGACTGCTGTGGGTCAGGCAAAGTTCCAAGGTCTCTGGTTAGGATGGTGACTGTCTTAGTCTTCCCCATCCAGGTTGCAGATGGTCAGAGGAGCAGTGTTGTTGGCTCCAATGCTGTAGCAAGGACTAAAGTAGGGCAGGAGGCGCCCAGGGAAAGGGTAGTGGGGGAAAGTGAAAATGTGGGAGCCATTGTCAGTCACATTGTAGAAGGAGATATCATGGCCCTCGTAATCCAGGAAGATCCCTACCCGGCGTGGAGGTACTGACAAGGACAGGAGGGGGTATTCATCAGTGCCTGCTCGGTACTCATTTCCCTTCCTCAGCCTTATCACCCAGAATCCATAGTGGGGGGATAAATAGACTACCTCCTTGCGGTCTACGTTTTCCTTGCACACTCCTAGGCCCCATTCCGACCGGTTTCCCACTTCCACTTCCCAGTAGTGCTGGCCTGAGGAGATGCACTGGCTGCCCAGGACAATATTGTAGCGGTAAAATCTCTCAGGATTGTCAGGCAGTTTCTGCTTGGTGTCTCCATAGCACACGCTTTTTCTGTCCTTGGACACAATGAGGCGGGAGTAAGCAGTGTCTGGATCCAGGCACACATCAGCTAGGGGAAAAGATCCTGGTTGGTAAGACTGATACACAGCCAGGGGGCATGGGCTATGTCTCTCAGATAAATACAGCTGCAGATTTATCAATGATGAGTAGGGTGGGGCTATATGGGGCATCCTGAGGACACTAAACCATTTTCTCCAGGAGGGCCCCCTTCCACTGCCCATCACAATCTCTCCCAGAATCCATTACCTGCATATGTCTTCAGGATCTCTCTTAGTCCCAGTACACGGCACTCTGTCTTCAGCTCCAGGGAGACTGGTTCTGGCCGCTGTAGGCTCCAGGTCTTGCTCCTGATAGAGGAAGGGTAGGGTTTGGGGCCTGAAGTCCTGGTTCTGCCACTTGGGCCTTCCTTTTGTATAGGGAAGAGGGACTTGGCCAGCGACATGGTCAGTGAGGTACTCCTCCCCAGCAACACCAGGCAAAATGGTCTGAGCCTCAGACCATCTGTAGCACAGACATGAAGACATTTGCATGCACACACTGTGGGAAGGGTTACAGGTGCATTGGACATTGGGAGGAGGCATGACACAAAGCAGAAAGGCTGAGACTTAAAGCTTAGAGCATTAATGGAGACATTTACAGTCCTTCTCTCCACTTAGACAATCTAATTGAAACCACGTATTTTATAACTTTACCTGAAATACTTATTGATAATATCTGAAGGGAATTTGGCCAAGTATAAAGGAGAAAAAGGAAAGATGAGCAAAGTTTCTTTAGCTCCCACTATATAAGAGAGGGTTGCTATGAGACAGGGTTGACTTGATGGCAACAGGTTTCTCTTTTTTTTTTTTAATATATAAGAGAAAGAAGATTGTGCACCAGCGCCTGCTTTTCTAGAAGGACTGGGTCTACGCACCCTCCCTATTTCTGGCCCTGGCCAAGCTCTACTATACCTTATAGGGCTGCGTAGGGGCTCCAACGATGGGAACATACCTGTTTAAGACTTCCTGAATACCCTAGAAGGAGAAAAAAATGCATCACATGAGTATGTGCTGTTCCTCAGAGGGACCAGACACCAAGCTCTGGGAGGGGCTTACTTTAAGAGAAAGGGAAGCAAATACCAAGGCTACAGAAAAGGTGTGCAGAAGAGAAGCCTGTGGGAGGGCAGTTGAGCAGGCTATTTTGCCGGACTGGCAGCTTTCAGGTTTCATTTCAAGACTCTCAGGTATAGCAGAAGGGTTGCCTGAGCACCACACCACTTACTAGGACAGAATGGGCCAGGTCATCCACCCAACTAGACATAGGGGAGCAGCAGGTATTTGCTGGTGATGTAGGAGACCCACATCTGATGGAGCAGAGCACTGAAAGGCCCTACTGAGGGCTAGCTAATCACCTCTCCTGAAGTCCAAAGCTATTTTCAGCTCTCAGTCAGGGTTCCCAGGAAAACCTGCTACTTACCTGAAGCATCCACCGGACAGGCCTCTGAGACCTCTCTTCTAGCTCTGCAATCATCCTCCATAGCACCCCGCTCTGCTGGACTAGCTTATTACGATTCAACTCCAGTTTCTGCATAGTTTCTCCCTCCTCCTGCTCTAGGCTGGCCAGAGCTGCGGCCGCCTCCACCTCTAGCTGCTGACTTGGTGTCTGTTTTTTCTTCAGTAATCGCCGACATTTCTCAAACTCCCAAATGATACTCTGTTTTCGAGTTTCCACTTGTATCTGCAGAGCCAACATCGGGAAATCAGCACTGATATTGTTAGTGTCAGAGTCATGTGCATACACATATACTCTGGAATGTTTTGGTGACAACAATGTGCCAGGCACTGTAGAGACAAACATAAAGGACACTGTTTCCCTAGCCTTCTGTTCCCACAGCAACAATGCAAGCTTCTGAGTCCCTATTACTACTTTTTTTTTTAACCTCAGTAGGATCCAGCCAAGATATTATTTTGGTACTGTATGCTGTAGATTATTTTCCATTTTCAGACTAATCAACAGATGTATTACATTTAATAAGGCAGTTGTAACTTTTTACCATTAGGTGGTTTTGCTTCTTGATGGTTTTATATCAATTCAGTGCTATTTTAGATCAGTTCAGCATTCCTTTCTATTAAGAAACAGTTCTGATGGTTTGGTAGTTATGGGCCTCAAACTTACCTCAGAGGTGATTTTCCAATACTGTTTTAATAACTGAACTCTTACCACATATGGACTAGCTTGAAGAAGTGGAACAGAAACTATGCTTTACTAAGCATTATACAAGACACACTATGAGCTAACATATGTGGAGCATGTATTTTTCCTTCCTCACATATGAGGACATAAAACCAGAGGCTATCCCTCAACTATCACCAAGAAACTGGAATTAAGAGGTTATGTGGACTAAAGCCACACATGTGGGAAAGGGGGTATTAGAACCCTGGGCTCTCAAATTTGAAACCCCACGTTCTGTCTCACAGAGATGAGGAAGCCGCCATGAGTTAGCTCCAGGACAACAAAGGGATGACACAAACTCCTTTCCCCAGAGGGCAACCTGCCTTCCAGTTGGCAGTTCGTTTCCTCTCGCCAACTTCCAGCTTCCAAGCCTCTTCTTGCTCTTTCCTTAGATGTTCCAGAGTCTCATGGAGTTTCCACTGCAAGAGATAAAAACCTCATAAGGTTACCTTCTGAGCATTGGTAGGTGAGAGGAAAACCAGTGTTTCTCAGGCAATGGGGCAGAATGAATGCTGGGAGAAAAGGAATACCACAGAGGGAGGAGCCCTGCTCAGATGACATGCAAGGGAGCTCTAGGAGTTGGGAATAACTTCCCATAGTCTCTAAGTTTTTGAAAAGTAGAAGAAAAGGGCCATTTCCAACCTTGCCAGAAAAATACCTTGGACTTTTCTATCCATGCTTAAAATCCTTATCTGCCTTGTTATCCCAAGGTCTCCTAGAACCTTGTTATTCAAAGCGTGGTCCAAGTGGGTCAGGCAGCATCAACATCTCCTGGGAGCTTATTAGAACTGAAGAATCTCAGGCCTCACCCCACACCATTGAATCAGAATCTAAATTTTAGCAAGTTCCCAAGTGGTTCATGTGCAAATTAAAGGTCAAGAAGCAGTTTCCCAGAATACTAATGCAAGAGTTTACTACTGGAAAGCATAAAGTACTCTGATAATATTACCCATTGTATTACTTACCAAGTGCCAGGCATAGTTTTTAGTACCTAGCAAGCATTTAAAACTCAGATTCCTATAAGACTGATATCACCCTCATTTTATAGATAAGAAAACTGAGGTTTAGAGAATGACCTACCCAAAGTCATTCAGTTAGTAAATGGTTGGGCTGGGATTTCAACCCAGCTCTTAACCGATATGCTACAGTGAAACCTGTGAGAGCCAGAACTTGACAGGACTGCCTTGTTTTTCTGGGTCTTGCAAGTCTTCCATGTTTGACAGGGGGCAGTCTTACCACTTTTCTATCACTCTCTATTAGTGGAAAAATATTTTAGTTTTTCTTCTTTGACAAGTTTCTGCTTTATACAGGTTCTGGCTTTCAAAGGTTTTACTGTGGATCTCCTTATCTCAATACTCTCAAAACAAAATAAGTATATACTCTTTATTAATGGATTTTACTTTTTTTAAAGTATTTTTAGGTTTGCAGAAAAACTGCACAGAAAGTATGGAGTTACCTATACCCCTCTTCCCTTCCCCTATCCCACTGTTTCCTCTTTATTAACATTATTGCATTAGTGTGGTAATTTGTTACAACTGATGACCAATATTGATACATTACTACTAACTAAAGTCCATAGTTCACATTAAGCTTCACTTTTTGTGTTGTACAGTTCTGTAGGTTCTGACAAATGCATGTCATGTATCCACCATTATAATATATATCATAGTTTCACCACCCTAAAAATGTCCTGTGCTCCACCTTTTCATCCTTCCATTCCCTTCACCTGGCAACCATTGACCTTTTTACTGTGTCTCTAGTTTTGCCTTTTCCAGAATGTCATATACAGTAAAACTTATGAAAGCCGGAATCTGTGTAAGGCGGAAACCTGTCAGAGAAGGAAAACTCAAATATTTTCCACTAACAGTAAGCAATAAAAAAGTGGCAAGATTGCACCCTGTCAAAGGTGGAAAACTTGCAAGGCCCAGAAAAAACAAGGCGGTCCCGTTGAATTCTGGCTCTCACAGGTTTCACTATAGTTGGAATCACACAGTATGTCTAGCTTCTTCAGACTGGCTTCTTCATTTAGCAATATGCGTTTAGGTTCCTCCTCGTCTTTTCATGGCTTGATAGCTCATTCTTTTTATTGCTAAGTGACAGTCCTTTACGTGGAGCCCTGGTGGCGGAGTGGTTAAGAGCTCGGCTGCTAACCCAAAGGTCAGCAGTTTGAATCCACCAGCCACTCCTTGGAAACCCTATGGGGCAATTCTACTCTGCCTTATAGGGTCGCTATGAATTGAAATCGACCTGACAGCAATGAGTTTGGTTTTTTAGTTTATTCCCTTATATGGATGTACCACAGTTTATCCATTTACCTACTGAAGGACATCTTTGTTACTTCCAATTTTTGGCAATTATGAATAAAGCTGCTATAAACATTCATATGCAGGTTCTTGTGTGGACCTAAGTTTTCAACTTAGGTAAATACCTAGGAGTGCAATTGCTGGATCTTACCTAGGAGTGCAATTGCTGGATCTTACGGTAAGACTACATTTAACTTTGTAAGTAACTGCCAAATGCCTTACAAAGTACCCATACCATTTTGCATTCCCATCGGCAATGAATGAGAGTTCCTGTTGTTCCACATCCTCGCCAGCATTTAATTTTGTCAGTGTTTTGGATTTTAGACATTCTAATAGGTGTGTGGTGGTATCTCGTTGTTTTAATTTGCACTTCTATAAAGACATATGATGTTGAGTATCTTTTTGTATGTTTATTTACTATCTGTATGTCCTCCTTGGTGAGGTGTCTGTTCAGATCTTTTGCTCAGTTTTCACTGGGTTGTTTACTTATTGCTGAGTTTTAAGATTTCTTTGTATATTTTGGATATGAGACCTTTATCAGATATGTTTTGCAAATGTTCTCTCCCAGTATGTGGCTTATCTTTTCTCTTAACAGTGTCTTTTGCAGAGAATTAGTCTTTAATTTAGCTAAAAGGTGACCTCAGGGGATAGTTTCAGTTCAAGGTTTAAAGAGTATCTTGGGGTGATAGTCTCAGGGAGTCCTCTAGTGTCAACTGGTCCAGTAAGTCTGTAGTTTTTTAAGAATTTAGTTCTGTTCCACATTTTTCTCCCATTCTGTCAGTATCCATCTATCATGCCCCTGATCAGAACAGCTGGTAGTGGTAGCCGGGCTTTATCTAGTTCTTCTGGTCTCAGGGTAGATGAGGCTGTGGTTCATGTAGACTATTAGTCCTGTAGACTAGTTTCTTCTCTGAGTTTTTGGTTTCCTTCTTTCTCTTTCGCTCCAGATGAGTAGAAATCAACACAATAGTTGTATCTTAGTTGGCCACTTGCAAGCTTTTTAGATCCCAGACAGTACTCACCAAACTAGGATGCAGAACATAAACTTTATGAACTGTATTATGCCAATTGATTGAATTTTCCTATGAGACTATGGTTCTAAGACTTCAAATACAGAAAACCAATCCCATGAGGGGTTTGGTTCATGTCTAAGAAGTATCCATAACTGTGCCGCATATGTGCTTTATTATATATACATGAATATATATGTATGCACACATATATACACAGATATACCTATACACATATATGCATGCACACATACATATGAAACCACACATACAATTTTTGGTTGTTACTGCTTTTGTTTCAAAATTATATGTTATAGCATTTACCAAAAATGTCCTTTTTCTTGTGTACTTCTTAGTGACATCATTTACCTTGGTCCAGCTGTGCACATTTCACCAACATTCAGTGTTACCTTTCCCATCACCAAAAATAACAAGTGTCTACTATCTAGAAAGTGATTCATCCTCTCCCCCGCCCCATCCCTGGTAACCCCACCCCTGGTAACAACCATTGTCATGGATTGAATTATGTCCCCCCAGAAATATGTGTATCAGTTTGGCTGGGCCATGATTCCTGGTATTGTGTGATTTTCTTGTATGCTGTAAATCCTGCCTCTATAATGTTAATGAGGGAGGATGGGTGGCAGTTGTGTTAGTGAGGCAGGACTCAGTCTACAAGACTGGATTGTGTCTTGAGGCAATCTCTTGAGAGACGAGAGAGAAGTGAGCAGAGAGACAGGGGGACCTCATACCACCAAGAAAGCAGTGCCAGGAGCAGAGTGTGCCCTTTGGACCTGGGGTACTTGCGTGGAGAAGCTCCTAGTCTGGGGGAACATTGACAAGAGAAAGCTGACAGAGAAAAAGCCTTCCCCTGGAGCTGACGCCCTAAATTTGGACCTATAGCCTACTTTACTGTGAAGAAATAAATTTCTCTTTGTTAAAGCCAGCCACTTGGTGGTATTTCTGTTATAGCAGCACTAGATAACTAAGACAACCACCTATTCTTGTCTTTTTATACAAGTGGGATCATACAGAATTCATCCTTTTATGATTGACTTATTTTACTCAGCATGTGTTCCAGATTCATCCATGCTTTGTTTTGAGGACTCCATCATTATTCTTTACGGCTGCATAGTATTCAATTGTATGTATGTACCACATTTTGTTTATTCATTCATCTCCTGATGGGCACTTAGGTTGCTTCTATCTTTTTGCTACTGTGAATAGTGCTGCAACGAACATAAGTGTGCATATGTCTGTGTTTCTTCTATTAGATCTCTAGGGTATATACCTAGGAGTGGGATTACTGGATCATAAGGTAGTTCCATTTCTAGTTTTTTGAGGAAGTGCCATACTGTTTTCCATAACTCGTTGCCGTCAAGTCGATTTTGGCTCATAGTGACCCAAGAGGACAGAGCAGAACTGCCCAGTAGGGTTTCCAAAGCTGTAATCTTTATGAAAGCAGACTGTCACATCTTTCTCCTGCAGAGTGGCTGGTGGGTTCGAACTGCCAACTTTTACATTAGCAGCCAAGTGCTTAACAACTGCGTCACCAGGGCTCCTTCCATTTTCCATAGGGGTTGTATAATTTTATAATCCCACCAGCAGTGGATAAGGATTCCAATATCCCCACATCCTTGCCAGAATTTGTTTTCTATTCTTTTTAAATCAGTGTGCCATTTTAGCTGGGGTGAGATGGTATCTCATTTTAGTTTTGATTTGCATCTCTCTAACAGCTAATGACTGTGAACATCTTTTCATGTGTTTGTTGCCACTTGAATGTCCTTTTTGGTGAAGTGTCTGTTCATGTCCTTTGCTCACTTTTTAATTTGGCTGTCTTTCTGTTGTTGAGTTGTTAAAGTTTTCTATATACTTTAGAGATTAGAGCCTTATCTGATATGTTGTTCCTGAAGATTTTTTCCCAATCTGTAGGTTGTCTTTTTACTTTTTTGATAAAGTTTATTGATGAGCTTAAGCATTTAATAGTCTTTAATTTTAATGAAGTCCAATTTATCAATTTTTTTAAAATGGATCTTGCATTTGGTATTGCATTTAAAAAGTTACCACTGAACTCAGGGTCACCTAGATTTTCTTCTATGTTATCTTATAGGAGTTTTATAGTTTTGTGCTTTATTTTCAGATCCATGATCCATTTTGAGGTAATTTTTATAAAAGATGTAAGCAGTCTAGATTCATATTTTTGTATATGGATATCTAGCTGCTCTGGCACCATTTGTTGAAAAGACTTTCCTTTTTTCATTGAATTGCCTTTGCTTCTTTGTCAAAGATCAGCTGACTATATTTGTGTCGGTCTATTTCTGAGCTCTCTATTCTGTTCCACTGATGTATTTTCCTATTCCTTCACCAATACCATACTGTCTTGGTCACTGTAGCCTTACAGTAAGTCTTGAAGTCAGGTTGTAATAGTGCCCTCTTTGTGTTCAGTAAAGTTAGAATCAGCTTGTCAATATCCACAAAATAACCTGTTGGGACTTTGATTGGGATTGCACTGAATCTATAGATCAAGTTGGGGAGAACTGACATTTTAACAATATTGAGTCCTTCTATCCACGAACATGGAGCATCTCTCCATTTATTTGCATCTTCTTTGATTTCTTTCATCAGCATTTTTGTCAATTTTGTTTTTTTAATGCTAATATAAATGGCATGGTATTTTTAATTTCAAAAGCCAATTGTTCATTGCTGGTATATGGGAAAGTTTTGTATAGAATATACAAAATGATTTTTGTCTATTAACCTTGTATCCTGTAATCTTATACTATTAGTTCCAAGAGGTTTTTTTTTTCTGTTGTTGATTCTTTGAGATTTTCTACATGGACAATCATATCAACTGCAAACAAAGAGTTTTATTTCTTCCTTCGCAATCTGAATACCTTTTGTTTCCTTTTGTCTTATTGCATTAGCGAGAACTTCCAGTATGATATTGAATAGGAGTGGTCAAAGGGGACATCCTTGTCTTGTTCCTAATCTTAGGGAGAATGTAACTAGTTTCTCCCCATTAAATATGATGATAGCTGTAGGTTTTTTTGTAGATATTCTTTATCAAGCTGAGGGAGTTCCCCTCTATTCCTAATACTGAAAGTTTTGTTTTTTTTTTTAATCATGAATGAGTGTTTAAAACCAAAACCAAACACACTGCTGTGACCCTATAGGACAGAGAACTGCCCTATAGGATTCCCAACGTTGTAATCTTTATGGAAGTAGACTGCCACATCTTTCTTCTATGAAGTGGCTGGTGGGTTCGAATCAATGACCTTTCGGTTAGCAGCCAAGAGCCTAACCACTGTGCCGCCAGGGCTTGAATGGCTGTTTGATTTTGTCAGATGCTTTTTCTGTATCTATTGATACGATCCAAATGATTTTTCTTCTTTAGTCTGCTGTTGTGATGGATTACATTAAACTGATTTGCAAATGTTGAACCATACTTGTATTCCTGAAAAAAATCCTTACTTGGTCATGGTATATAATTTTTTTTTACACATTGTTAGGGTTGATTTGCTAATATTTTGTTGAGGATTCTTGCATGTATGTTCATGAGAGATATTGGTCTGTAATTTTCCTTTCTTTTAATGTCTTTATCTGGTTTTGGTATTAAGGTAATGCTGGTATCATAGCATGAGTTAGTAAGTGTTCCCTCTGCTTATATTTTTTGGAAGACATTATAGAGAACTTGTATTATTTTCTTCCTTAAATGTTTGGTAGAATTCACAGCGAAATCATCTGAGTCTGGTGCTTCCTGTCTTGAAAGGTTATTAAGTGTTGATTCAATTTCTCAAATACATATAGGCCTATTCACTTTACCTGTTTCTCATTATGTGAGTTCTGGTAGACTGTGTCTTTCAAGGTATTGGTCCATTTCATCCAAGTTATCAAATTGTGGACATACAGTTGTTCACAGTATTCTTTTATTATCTTTTTAATGTCATTGGGATCAGTTGTGTAGGCCTCTCTTTCATTGCTGATATTAGTCATTTGTGTCTTCTCTATTTTTTGTTTTCTTGGTTATCCTGTCTAAAGGTTTATCAATTTTATTGATCTTTTCAAAGAACCAGCTTTTAGTTTCACTGGTTTTCTCTACTAACTTCCTGTTTTTGATTTCTTTGATTTCTACTATAATTTTCATGCTTTTCTTCCGTCTGCTTCCTTTGGCTTCAATTTACTCTTCTTTTTCTAGTTTACCAAAATGGAATCTTACATTACTGATTTTAGACATTTCTTCTTTTCTAATATATGTATTCAGTACTATAAATTTCCCTCTAAGCACTGCTTTTGCTGCATCCCACAGCTTTTGTTAAGTTGTATTTTCCTTTTCATTTAGTTCAAAATATTTTTAAATTTCTCTTGAGATTTCTTTGATCCACGTATTTAGAAGTGTGTTAAGTAAGTACTTTTAATCTCTTAGAAATTCTCTTATAGGAAAGAATAATTCAGGTGATTTGCCTTATACTTCTGCCTTCTAATCTCAATTCCAGGAAGGGACTAACACTAGTACTAGATTACTGGATCACAGAATCATTTGGGTGATGGTTCTGATAAAGACATGCCAGTGTAGATGTCTGACCAAAGAGCAAGAAGAGGTCTGGAAGATGATGAGGGTAGCTATAAAAATGGCCTTGGTACCTCAGGGAAAGATGTTCATTAGGTGATTCATGGCTTACAAGGAGCAGAAGGTATTTAGAAGTGAACAAATCACTTGCCAAAAAAAAAAAAAAAAAAAACAACAAAAAGGGCTTGAGAGAGATGAAGGAATGCTAGCTGAGAGTGAGAAGACCTGAGTTCTAGCCTTAGATCTTCTAACCAAAAACCAAACACCCAAATCCATTGCTGAGTAGATTCTGACTCACAGTGACCTATAGGACAGATTAGAACCGTTCCATAGGGTTTCCAACACTGTAATCTTTACAGAAGCAGACTGCCACATCTTTCTCCCGTAGAGCGGCTGGTGGGTTTCAAACCACCAACCTTTCAGTTAGAAGCTGAATGGCTTACCCACTGCACCACCAGGGCTCCTTTCTTCTAACCAGCTTACCCTAATGTCAGGAGGAACCTTAGAACATTAAACTCACTCAATCCTATGTGACTCACCTAAAGTCCTTTCCAGTTCTAAATTACTATAATTTCAAGTTTCTGAGCCTCAGTTTATAAAATGAGCATATTAAAGTGACTCACCCAATGTCAAATGACTATTTTATAGCACTGCTAGGCAGTTTGTAGGTTCCAAAAGATGCAGCTTTGGCAACCTGCAAAACAGGCTCATAGTCAAAATCATCCAAGGCATCCAGAACCCCAGCTGAAACCAAACTGGTGTCTTTCAAATTCCCAGTACTGAAATCATCTTTGTCAGGCAATGACCACGATGGATTCAGGGATGGGGTGTGGAGGAGGGAGTCAAAGGAGGTCATGGATGCAAGTAAAAGCATAGCTCAGTATGTCAGATCTCAGGGATATGTGGGTGTGAGAAGTTAAAGGATTTTAGTCTCTGTGGTCCCTGGTCAAATCTTTGATCTGGAGACTGCCAAGTGGGGGCAGGGGAAAGACTGGGTCATGCAGCCCAGCCTCCATCTCTCACCTTATACTCCCAGGCGACATCCTCCATGGGCACAACACTGTGGGTCTCATGCTCTGGGGACTGGCTGCAGGCCTCACACATCATTAGGCCATCTTCTTTGCAGAACAACTTAAGCCATTCCCTGTGGAGCTCACATATATCACCCTTCAGTCCCATTCCTGGGTGAAGCCCTAGCAAACGGACTTTTTCCACAACATTGGCCAGCTGCCAATTAGGCCGCAGGTTCCTAGGCTGGACAGGAGCCCGGCACAGTGGACAGGTGTAACTCCAGTTCTGGGATTCTCCTGGGACCTCCCAGAGTCCAGAGAGACAGCTGTGGCAGAAACTGTGACCACAGTCGATGTTCACAGGCTCCTTCAGGAAGGTCATGCAGATGGGACAAGCCACTTCTTCCACAATGGCTTCCACCAAAGCTGCAGGATCCATGGTTCCTTCTTACAACCTCCTCAGAACAAGTAAAACCAGGGAGAGGTAGTGAAGGCTTGGGAAGAGGAAAAGAAAAACAAATAAGAGAAAAAGGTAACACAAGAACAGACAGACCAGTAAAAAGGACAGTGACTAAATAAACAACTTCCTTTGAATCCTGTATTAACCTTATTTAATAAGCACTGGCCTTCTCAACTGAAGTTTTGACTGGGCAACATGACTCATACCACAGAAAGGACATCTGGGGATATCTAAGCGAGTGGAAGTCAGGTGTTTTCAGTTTTCATTCATTTGGTCATCTCTGACTCTCCTAAGGGTTTGCTCCACCAGTTCATTCCACTCCAGCTCAACATGCTCTCCAACTCAGAATTGTGTCTCTTAAACTTGGGTAAGGTCACATAAAGTGTGGTGTTTCAGTGTCCTAAATAAGGCCAGAAATGTCTCCAGTCCCATTCTCTGGTATGTTAATATGCTCATTTATATAATTGAAGGTGCAGAAAAGGTAATATACAAGAAGCCCTATATGTGCAACTATAAGCACGATTTGTTTTCTTGTGTTGCACACTGAAGTTTAAAATATAAGGGAAACAGCAGTACTTTCCCCACACCCTTTGAACTCCTGCCCACTTATCCAACACTAATACAGTTATTATTTACATGATTCATCAAGATACCACGACACTCTCCTCAGCCTTCAGTGCTTGTTAGAAACAGAGATGTCAGTGCTTGTTAGAAACAGAGATGAAACAACATCCTTTACAAGAAAACCAAACCAAAACAAAAAATAAAGCACATCTAATGATTATCAAACCCATACTGATGAAGTCACTACTCTAGCAAGAAACCTGAGATTTTTGCCAAAGCTATACATACAGGTATGGAACTTGAGTGGTCAATGGCAGGCTCTTTGCTCACCTATCAGTATTTATTTGTTCACGTTGCAAGTCTGTCTTACCAGCTAGAGTCTGAATGGGAAGAGCCACGTTGGCTTAAGCACTGCTATATCCTTAGCACCTAGAACAGTGCCTGTCATGTAGTTAGTGCTGAATAAATATTTGTTGAATGAATAAACCAGCTTGACACATGAAATAGGTCCTAAACCACAAAATGCTTTTATAATTTCTGTTAGGTAATTGTGAGCAGTATCATACACTAATATCAATAGCTATCATTCCTTGAGCACTTACACTACGTGTATATGGATTAACTCAATTTATTTCACAACCCTAGGTAGAAACCATTATTCTTATTTTACAGATGCTTGGTCTTGGGCTCCACCATTTTATCTGGGGAAAATTACTTAACATCTCTAAGCTTCAAGGTATAATAAAAATTCACGAGGAGAGAGAAATCACTGTAGTTTAGGCTAGTCTAGCAGGGTTTCTTGAAGAAGATGGGGCAGTAATTTGATCTTACAGAACTCTCTGTTACAGGCCATCTGCAGGTCATACCTTCTCAACTGGCCTGTCTCTTGTTTCTCCTCTTCTTATTATCACTACCAAACTGTGGGATTGAGTACCCTAGGCCTGCTGAATCACTAACCTACTCAAGAGCCTAACCTGGCTCCCCAGCACCCAACCCAAATTTCGCACATTCGGTATCACAGAGGTCCTACAAAAATCATTCTCCCTTCAAACTCAAAATAGCACCTATGCTCAGCCAAGCAAAGAGAGAAGCTTCCACACTTCCCTGTATACTCCATGTTCATTTATCCCACCCCACCTGGGTTCCTGCTTTTCTCCCAGCTGGAAATGATCTGCCCTGCTGTCTTTCTTATCCATGGTATGATGTTTTTGATTTTTTCTCCCAAGTCAAATTCTGCCTGCCTTGAGTGGGGTTCCTGCCTATCCTGATGCTGGAAGACTTACCTTCTCTGGACTTCTGCATCCTGCCCCAGGGTTGCTCTACAGCTCCCTGCCCCACAGACTGTGACTGTGGATGCCGTGTTGGGTGCTTTACAAAGAGCTTTCAGTTCACTAAATCCAGAGAGCCCTGGATTTAAGAGATGGAGGCTGGGTGCTTTTTCTGGGTTTCTGTTGCCTCTTCTCTGAAGCAAAGGTGACAGATTAAGCGCAAGTGAGTTCCCCTTCTGTGGCAGGCAGAATAATGCCTGCCCCCCAACTCTTCCCAAACATGTCTGTGTTCTAACTCCTTGAGCCTGAGAATGTATTATGTTACGCAGCAAAAGAGAATTAAGGCTGCGGATGGAATTAAGGTTGCTAATCAGCTGACCTTAAGATGGAGAGGCTACCTTAGATCAGCCAGGTGAGCTGATACAATCACACAGGTCTTTAAAGGAAGGAGGCAGAAGAATTCAGTCAGAGAAAGATATGATGAAAGATGCAGGGTCAGAGTAATGTGATGTGAGGAGCACTTGATTTGCCATTGCTGGCTTAAAGATGGAGAAAGGGGTCACAAGTCAAGGAATGCAGGTGGCCCCTGGAAGCAGGAGAAGGCATAAAAACAGATTCTTCCCTGAAGCCTTCATAGAATGCACCTCTGGATTTTGGTCCAGTGAAACCTGTGTTGGACTTTTAACACACAGAACAGTATGGTAATAAATCTGTGTTGTTTTAAAACACTAAATTTGTGGCAATTTGTTACAGTAACAATAGGAAACTAAAAATGATAGTAAAGCGACTAGGAGGGAGATTATCAGTGGATACATGATTTATCAACCTTCTGTTGAAAATAAACTTGAGCAACAAAAGAACAGTCTGGAAATGCAGAAAAGGACTATAGCACAGGACACAGCGGATCTGCTGGTATAATCTGAGAGGCTCGTGCTCAGTAGCATATACAATAGAACAGCAGAAGAAAACTTCCAAGACCTAAAGAGAGATAAGCAAATCTGTGACAGCAGGGTTCAGCACAAAGAAAGATCCACACTTACACACATCACCACCTCAAAACAATAAGGATAGAGAGAAGGTCCTGAATACCTCTAGAGAAAAAAGGGGAGAGAGAAACATACACACACAAATCAGTCATCTAAAAAAGAACAATAGTCTGACTGGCATCTTCCTTTTCATCAGCAATACCAAGTACCAGAAATAGAAAGTCAATGTAATAACCCCTTTAAAGTTCTGACTGAAAGTGACTTTCAACCTACTATTATTTATCCAACCAAACTAACAATACCAAGCCAAAAACTAAACTTGTTGCTGTTGAGACGGTTCAGACTCATAGCGACCCTATGGGACAGAGTAGAATTGCCCCACAGGGTTTCTAAGAAGCAGCTGGTAGATTTGAACTGCTGACCTTTTGGTTAGCAACCGTACCTCTTAACCACTGCGACAGCAGGGCTAACAATAAGAAGGTCAAAATGAAGACATTTCCAGATATGCAAGTACTTAAAAGTTTACCTTCAATATACTCCTTCAAAGGAAGCTACTTGAAGATGTACTTACTCCAGCAATAGAAGGATAAAAACCAAGAAAGAAAGGCATAACAAACACAGCAGAACTAAATCCAGGAGGTCAGTGCGGAAGAACCCTCAGGGTGAAAGTTAAGAGGACAGACTTAAAACAAATGCTTCAAATTGGAACAAGAAGTCAGTGGACTCTCAGGATGTCTTCAAGAACAGGCTGGATTGGATTTCAAATAAAAGAGAAATGGTAAAGAAACTGGAAGACATTAGTGGTAAAGTGAAGAAAGCATGTTTCTAGTCTCAATAAGAAAAAAAAAAAAAGAATGACAATTAGAAAAACATGGTGGAAAAAAAAAATCCAGGTCCCACTGTAAACCAAACTAAAGCACGAATGTAACAAGGGTTACATGATGGTGGACATATATAGAAGGAAATAAAATTCTAGCAAATTATTTGCTCTGCAGTGAACAATATTTTCGTGGTCCTAAAGTAACCACTAAGGAGCCCTGATGGCACAGTGGTTAAGTGCTCAGTTGCTAACTGAAAAGACTGGTGGCTGGAACTCACCAGCTGCTCCGCGGGAGAAAGATGTGGCAGTCTGCTTCCGTAAAGATTACAGCCTTGGGAACCCTAGGGGCAGCTCTATTCTGTCCTGTAGGGTAGCTATGAGTTGGAATCGACTCAACGACAATGTGTTTGGTTTTTTGGTAAGGTATCCACTGCTTACTGGTTTTAGAATCAATCTATAGTCAAAAAAAGAGAAGAGTTTGCTTTTACATTGCCAGGGCTGGTGAATGTTCCAGAATTTCCCCTCTCCCACTCTCCCAGACAACTATTTTGCTATTCTTCTCTCTTCTCCAACCAATACCCTTCCCTCTATCAGCAAGGGCAAATGATGACCTTGCTACCTATTTCACAGAAACAATCAGAAGAGAATGGCCATTTTGTCTTCTCTCAGATAGCATGGATGAACTTTATGTCATCTTTTTTTAGACCAGCCCCTCCACTTGTTCACTAGATCCTTTACTCTCTCACCTATTCAAGACCAGTTGTGTCTCATCCTTCCTGCTTTTCAAATCTCCCCCTCTACTAAATGATCTCCATCAGCTTTCAAAAACGCTGAAATAATTCCCAACTTAAATAAAATCCTCTCTTGACCCCACAATCCTCTTCAGCTAGGATCCATTTCTCTGCTTCCCTTTACCATAAACCTTTTGAAAGAGCTGTCTGTATTTACTATCTTCACTTTCTCTTTTCATTCTCTCTTGAATTCATTCCAAGACTTTGCCCCATCATTATTCCATTACACTCTTGTCAAGTTCACCAGTGAACATTGCTAAATCCAATAGTCAATTCTCAACCCTTACCTTACTTGCCCTATCAGCATCATTTGATGCATCATTCTTGGCTTCTGAGAAACTAGTCTACTGGTTCTCCTACTACCCTCTGGCTGTTCCTTCTCAATTTCCTTGGCTGGTTCCATCCTCTCCCTTTGGACCTTTATCGATCCTCCTTCTATGGATTATCTCATCCAGTCTTACAGCTCTAAATATCATCTACATGTTGATGACTTCCATATTTATGTTTCTAGCCTGGACCTCTCCTCTGAACTTCAGACTCATATATCTCCACACATACTTGACATCTGCACTTGTAGGTCTAGTTGATACCTCAAACTTAACATGTCCAGAGCAACTTCTGAGCTCCCTTTTTCTTCCTCCCCTCAGTCTTCCCATGACCTGACCATCTTATAAAAATAACCTCTCCATGACCTTGCTCTTTTCTTCTTCATAGCACTTAACATCATTTGTCATGTATTTGTTTATTGTCTTACTTCCCATACTAGAAGTTTCATGAAGATAGGGATATTATCCATTTTGTTCACTACTTTATCTCCAACACCTAGAACAGTGCTTCAAATATTTGCTGACTACATGAGAATTAAACTTCAGTGCTAACATCCAGCTGACATTAGGTTGGAATTGGAAGAAGTGTCAACATCCTCATCTAATAGTGGAGGCACCAAGAACTACTGCCTAAAGTTGTCAGCACAAGAAATAAAGGCTGCTATTTGTTACTTATAGCTACAAAAGGAGATCAACAGAAGAACTAAAGTAACAATCAAAAACTGATGGTAGCAATAGGAAAGTGAGGTAAAGAAATATTAAAACGATAAATCAAGCAATGCAGTGGCAGCATGTTATTTAGATTTGTTATTGTAAGCTACTCTGGAGCTGGCTCCGTGTGTTACAGAGAACTGCTCCACAAGGTTTTCTTTGTTGTAATCTGTACTGAAACAGTTCACCAGGTCTTTCTTCCTCAGAGCCACTGGGTGGGTTCAAATGGTCAACCTTTGGGTTAGCAGCAGATGGCAAACTGCTTGTACCACCCAGGCTCCTTTATTTAGATTTAGGCTCATTAAAATATACATATATATATATAAACATGTAAAAATGATGGTCTCTACAAGGAGGATTTGGGGACAAGTAGCTATTGCTCTTCAATATAAGCCCTGCTTTTTTATTAATTATGCATAAATTACTGTAACCAAATTTAGAGAATTAAACGTTTAAGTGCCTCAGTTAAATTACATTATGCCTGAATGCAGTCTTCCACTGTGCCTTTGGCAGGGTGAGGAGCTAGTCTAGGAAAGACCTTAGAGTGGTGGGGCGGGGCAAAGACCCCAGAGGGACCAGAGACCAGAGTGTGAGTGAGTGTGTGTGCGTGTCTGTGTGTGTATGTGTCTGGGGTGAGTTTGGAGGGGTAACTTTCAAGTTAAGGGAGCCGAGGGGGATGGTAACCTCCCGCCACAGGACGCTGGGCAGGCCCTTGCAGCGGGCGGGTTGGGGTCGTGAAGGTGAACTTGCAGGGCCTCTGACTTCAGAAGTACGTCTGTCTACCCACCTCCCTCTTCAGCCTGGACTAACGATCGGCGGCGGAAACCGAAGGTGGAGACACCTGGTTCCCACGGCCGAATTTCTGCAGCGTCAGGAGCGACAGGTCTCGCAAGCGCAGCACTTACCTGCCGGACTCCTACAGCCCGGCGACGAAGGCCCGGACGATTGCCTGCTCCTCGGCCTCATCCCCAGGGCTCCGAGGCCCCGCCCACAGGACCGGAGCCAATGAGCGGCAGGCAGGGCACCGGCGCCCTATCTGCCCGGTAGCGGCGTCTTTGTGGGAGCACCCAATCAGAGACAGCGATCAGGCCAACCCTAGCCAATCGGACATGGGGACGGGGGCTCGAAGTGGCAGTGTGTTTTCTCTGCTTCGTTAGTTTTTCCAGTCTCTTTTCCGCAATATGAGCCCCTTAACTGTAAAGGGGCCGAGAAGTTAGAGTTGCGCGGCCTTCCTGGAGGATGACAGGTGGAAGGGCTGAGATTTCCGAATGAGGGTGTCGAGACCCTGCGTTAGGAGACACTGGCAGGCTCTTTACCCGACGAACCCTTTGCTTCTCATGCTTCCTCTCTGGCTGAAGAGTGTCTCTTAGAAGCTAATCTTGTTCCTTCCAGGCAGTAGCACTTGAGCTAAAGCTGTTCATTTGCCCATTTTCCGTGTGAAACTCAGCAGTCTGTGAGGTCAGCCAGATCTGGTTCTGTGTGACCCAACTTCCTCTTTTCTAGATCGTTTTCTAGAAGACAAGGCTGAACCTCCCAGGGGCCAAAATAGGGGAAGTTAGTGCGTCCTTTCCCTGTCCACTCCGTGCTAGCCCCAGATAAAAGTAAAGAAATTCCACTTCAGAGCAGCAAATCCCCAGGTCTTTGTTATCAGTCTCCCTTAGGCAGAGGAAGGGAGTTAGGGGTGGAGGGGGGAGGTGAGTCCAGAAGCTCAGACCTACGATTCTGTCTAGGGGTAGAGGGCCTTTCTAGATGTGCCCCCGTGTTCCTGTGAGGTCAGAGAGTAGGAGGTCACCTCGAGTGTTTGTTAGGGTTTAAGTGTCTGGAAAGACTGAGAGACAGGGAGCAGAGAAGGGGGAGCAAACTCCAGAAACAGAGGAAAGGAGCGGTAGTAAGAAGACCCTGAAGAATGTGGTAAGACAGCTTCTATGTGAGAGGCCATGGATCAGGATATAAAAGTTCATATATATATGTGTGTGTGTGTGTGTGTGTGTGTGTGCGTGTGCGTGCATATGCGTATGTGTACAGCCGCAACCATTTTTGAATTATCTTCAGCAAAATTTTACTTGCATGTGATATTAATGATACTGTTCGATAATTTCTGAATTCTGTTGGAT